GCAGGTGTTTAATTTTTAAGTAAACCTTCTCTTTGTTATCAAGGAAAAGTTGAGAAATCCTGAGAAATATCTAACAAAACACACCAGGGCTGATGCTGTTCCCCTCGGAGGGGCTGTGTGTGCAGCTGGGGTGTGCAGAGGGGCTGCAGCCCCCTGCCCACCGAGCACCTCCTGGGGAGGGGTCCTGGAGGATGGACCTGGGGCTGCTGGGGTGAGAGCCTCAGCCAGCACCAGCAGGAGCAGCTCCTTGTCCCTGGCGGCAGGTGTGCACCGGGCAGGTGTGCACCAAGATGGGTGTGCACCAGGCAGGGTAAGCACTGGGCAGGGTGTGCACCGGGCTGGGTGAACACCGGGCTGGGTGAGCACGGGGCAGGTGTGCACCAGGCAGGTGTGCAGTGGGCTGGATGAGCACGGCCTGGGTGTGCACCGGGCAGGTGTGCAGTGGGCAGGTGCGCACCAAGCTGGGTGTGCACTGAGCTGTGTGTGCACCGGGCAGGTGTGCACCAAGCTAGGTGTGGGGGCATGATGCACATGTGTGTGCACACACAGACGTGCCCAGACCCACGGGCAGCGCCCTGCAGACACAGACACATTTGTCCATACGCCCCTGCTCTGCCAGCAGGGGAAGGTGTGCAGTGTGCCCTAGCCCACAGACACCCAAATTCCTGTCCTTTACAGCACCTCGGTTTCAGTTCCAGGACAGTGCTTGGCTGCTGCACTGGCATGCTGCCGTTCCTTTCTCTTTTGTCAGAAGGGCTACTCGGGCACAGAAAATGTGAAGCTCTTTACGGCAAGCTCCACTGCTGTAAGACTTGAATCACTTTGGGTCCCACATAATCAGGAATTCTCAGATGTATGTAATAGGTCACAATGTGAAATTCTTACGGATCTAGTGATTTTTAGGGCTTTTAAAGCTTATAATTTTAAAATGCTCTTCCACTAGCAGCAGAAGCTGTGTCCTGGTATGGCAAATATTGTTCAGAGGTTTTCTGAAACAGTCCTTGCCATGGAGATCTTACAGTAGAATATAATTAAAGTTCTCTATTCTGTAATATGCTATATTAATTAGCAGTCAAAATCCAATTTTTAAAGCCCAGCTTTGAAATGTATTTGCCCTTCAGGCCCATGTATCATTGTGCCACAGCTTGAATTGTCCTGTGCTACTGGGCTGATCATAAAATAAAATAAATAAAATACATCTCGTCATGCATTTTCCAATTAGAAGGAAGGGGGACATGACCACTTCTTTTGGGAAATGTAGTGTTTTATTTTCAAAGTCAGATGTCCACGTTCTGCAGCTTCTCTGTTGTTGAGGAAGGTGATGACACAAACCCTTGCAGGGCAGGCAGAGCTTGTGTAAGGATGTGTTTTGTCCCAGCCCTGATGAGTTAAACACGAGTGTGATTTTGGGGGGGTCACAGCCCATGCCCAGCAGTGCCCTGCCCTGCCTGGCCAGGGCAGCCTGATCAGCTGCCGGGGTCCCTGGTGGGGCAGCACAGCAGATAAGGAAATTCTGTGAACCGTTCATTGTTTCTTCTGAGTCAGTGTTTTGTTCCGTGGAAGCAGATTGTTCCCCCGGGCAATTTCAGGTTTTGACTGCTGGTCCTCCTTCTCCCTCCTCCCCTCCTCTCGCTGTCTGGGATGAAAGAAGGGAGGTTTGAATGCACATTGAACAGTGGTCCTAAATCTGGCTTCACCCCGAGCACTGCTCAGAAATTTACATTTTCATGCTGGTGGAAGGATACATGTGAATCTCAATGATCTTTCAAAATTTTTCTTTAAAGAAAAGCAAAGCTATTGCTTGCCATTCATCCCATTGCGCAGGGGGAGAGGACAGCCAAAATGTGGTACTTGATGAAGGAAGAACCTCGTGCAGGGCTTCTATTTTCATATAAATGGTGTATATTTTACATCCTTGTCTTCCCTGATCTGCAGCTTGACAATACCATTTTCTCAAAGTATAAATACAAGAAGTTTATACAGTAAAGTTGGTTGTATTTTTTTTTTTTAGTATAGAAATGTATATAATCATAGTACAGGAATTCATCTTAATCTTAGTATTAAACTTAGTGTAGAAATTAATATAATCTTATAGAGGAGGTCATATTTAACAAATGAAGATGAGGAAGATTAAAAGCACAAATATATCAAAGATGTTCTTGGTTTTATTTAACTCACAGAAAGCTTTAAGTAAGTTTTATATGTGCAACTTCTCCACAGAAAAAGGGGGAAATATTGACAGAGATTGTCTGAATAATTCTTTGAACTGCTGTATTCTGAAAAGTAGAAATAAAACAAAAGCAAATGCCAAAACACAGCAATCACAGCCCTTCGTTCGGGCAGAAATCCTTCTTCTGTGTGATGCCCACCTCCAAGAAGGCATGAGCTGCTGTGGTGTGGCACTGGCAGTGGCCCTGCAGGAATCGGGCATCAGGCGCCCGCGCTTCGCCCGCGATGGAGCTCTGGCGAGTGCCTGCCCGGAGCTGCCCTCCCTGCCTCGGCTCTGCTCGGTGGGCTGGGAAGTGTCATCCAAGGGGTGGGTGACCCCAGCTGAGGTCCCTGAGCCCTTCTGGGTTGATTCTGGGTGCAGCTGCCCGCCTGCCCCGGGGCAATGCACCGCTGTGCCCTCGGGAGGCTGCTCCTGCCTAAGGCTGGGTGACAGCAGAGGTGGCAGGGCTGCAGGCTGCAGAGATGTGGCATCACCCCAGCACCCCAGGCTGGTGGTGCTGCTGCTTGGCGAGCCAAGGGAGCAGGCAGGACAGCGCAGGAGTGGCCAGGAACCACCCACGGGGCACTGGGACTTCCTGCGAGACGCATTAATTCACCCAAATAAGCAAACAGAATCAGAAGGAAGGGGAACTATCTGCCAACTTGAAAAGAGGTTTGTAATTTATTTTGTGATCTAGAGCCAGACAGAACACTGTGGTCAGCAAGAAATATTGTTGCAGATTTTTCTAAGTGTCTCTATGGCAGGATTTCTACTTGATTGCAGAAGCAAAACTCTCCTTAGGTGTTTCAGTCTGAAGAACTTACTGCATGTGAGAACAAAGCCTTATACAATCTATTGTGAATTAGAATTAATTTTATATCACCAAACAGACTTAGTAAAGGGAGATTTTGTTGTAATATTTCATTCAGCATTAAAGCTCTTATATTTATTTTCTGAGTGGAGCAGTTTTAGCTTCTTGTATTAGGAGCATTAGAATCATTGTATCATGGTTTTCCCCTGTGAAGCTGGGGATTTTGACAGTGAAGAAGAGAAACTTGGTTGGTTTGCCCCCAGGAAGGACATGCCTAGTGATTAACAGGAGTTAATTCGCTGGTAATTTTGATCTGTGACCATTCTGCATATGCATTTCTGTGCAACACAGCACTTGCAGTGCTGACTGCCAAGGCAGAGCTTTGAATTACAAATATCTTTTTCTTTGTGAATTAATTTCCTTAACAGGCATTAAAGCCATAAATAATGCACTCAAATATGACAGTGTTTCTTTACTTTCATTGATCAGGCCTCAAAAGGCTTGATTTTCTCTTGGGTGTACCCACAACTCGCTGCTGCCGCGGGGCAGTGACGCGTCCCTGTCCCATCCCATCCAGGTGACCCCGAACGGTACTGGGGTGACAGTGCAGGTGGCTGCTGGGGTCCTGGCAGTGGCAGTCACTCTGTGTGCCACGGCCCAGGTTCACATGTCATTCCATCACTTTTTTAACTGGCCAGTTAGTGCATTGCCAATGTCTCGGTGACAGTCGTTGGCATGAGCAAGTGTTGAAAATAAAATAGAAATACTTCAGGCTGTTGTTCAGGTGAGAACATGTGCTGTGAGCTCTGGCTGTTGAATGAAGAGCAGCAGTGAGCAGGTGCTGTGCTCTAAAGCACCTGAGTGACATACCTTGTGTCCTGATACTACATCACAGGCTTCAGCCAAAATTACTGACTTTTTCAACAAATGAAAAGGAAGACATAAAATTATAGATTATATAGTTTTAATTTGTAGTCATACACCGTCTAATGGAAATTAATAGTACAATCGAAATTGTGAGAAATTTTTGCTGTCTGTAAATTATTGTGATTTTTGTTAGTAACGTGGATGCCTCGGATTGCATGCAGGATCAGCATGGACAGTTTGCATTTAGAAGTGTGCAAACATGCAGAATTAATGTGCACACAGGCTGTATGCTTGCTGTAAGGTGCAGTGGGGTGAGCACCTGTGCGGAGGTGGATCCCTTGCAGCAGTGAGGAGCTGCTGTGGGATCACAGCTGTGTGCGCAGCCAGAGGCTGAGCCACATGTACCTACAGGATTTTTAACAGCTCTGGCTGCATCCCCTCTCCTTTAGCTTGCTGCCCTTCCATTTCCTTCTTGATTTGCTTCTTTTCCCTCCTGCCAGCCCAAAGGCTGCGTGTGTGAAGGTTGTGGCGTGACAGTCAATAATTCAGTGTGTCCTCCTGATTTATTGCACATGACCAAACCCTGTTTGGAAATAGATTTGCTCGGCTCACAGTCTGGGTGTCTGAGGTTGTGCTCAGCCGTGCTGGCATGCCGCAGTCAGGATGCAGGGCTGCAGAACCAGGGCTGGTGAATTGGCACGGAGGAAAAGTGTGTGCTGTGCAGTAACTTCGTGTCCGTGCAGCCTCGGGGCTGGGGCTGGGCATCCCAGGAGCACAGGCAGGGGCAGCTCCAAGGCTACAATCAGGACCTGTGGAGCCCATGCCTACGGAAGAGTTAAATCCCCACCTGAATTTAAACCCCCTGGGTCAGGACAGGAGTGTGGTGTTAGAAAAACTTCTCCCAGTAACTGCATGTGTGCGGATACTCAGGTGAGGCAGATTTGGGGCCCAGTGGGTCAGTGGCTTTCTTTACCAAAGATGGTACTATTTTCTCTGTTTTAGTCATCAAAACCTGTTGGCATTTTCAATAACTGCAGTAATCATCATGTTGAATATACTATAGAAGAATATTCATATAAATTAAATATAATTAATTTTAATTTTGTTTTTCAGGAAAAACTGATGTGAACTGGTCCATCTCTCATAAAGACTTAGAGGTAAATACAGACAACCAAATTTTTCTATAATTCTTTGTTTTATTGCTTATTAACAAGCAGAATAAAGTAAATGGGGTTGAAAAACCCCTCTGTGTTGTCTTGTGGGATGACTAGCAGTGTTCCCTCACAGGAGGAAGGAGTTCTTGAGTTGGGGCTGGCATACAGGCAGGAAGGGACAGGAGTGTAAAGAGCCGGAGTGCTTCCACAGACTGCAAGGTGGAGATCAGTTCTTCCTTCCTGGTCTCTTTGGAGCCCCAGAGCTGTTTCAGGGCAGCCTGGTCCCCTTCCCAGGCAGCACTGGGAGCCAGCAGAGCATGGAGCCTGCCTGGGCTCGGCGAGGGGCAGCGTGGGGACTGCAGCCCGTAGCACCCAGGAGGAGTGAACTGCAGCTGCTCTGTCCAACTCCTTCCCTTTTTCTTTCCAGTGTCCAGTACAGCTGATACAATCCAGTGACATTAACAAATTCATTCCCTGGGGAGAAATGGTATTTTTAAACCTCTCCTGTTCACTCATCCAAAATTTCATGTATTTTTTTTAAATGTGTGATGTTTACTATGCAATGACAGTTGCAGATAGGATTTTCAATTCTGGCTCACTAAACAGAAAGTATGTGTGAGGTCACTGGGAGAGAGACAGTTGTTTCCTGCTTCCTCTCTTTTTTTTTTTTTTTTCCCTCTTTTAAAGTCTTTCTTTACAATTGCAAATTGCAGATTTCATCCAGACTTGTAGAGCATTGTACTTTGTCCAAGCAGTTTGCCTTAATGCGTGTGAGGGAATATGTAACTTGCATTTGCAATTGATGTTCATTATATTTTTGTTCTGGAGAAAATTCCAGTTTGTTGTGATATAGCAGAGTGAGTAAATCTTGGCTAATTGAGGGAAAGCTTCACAACTGCAGTTTTAAATAGCAAAAAGAATGTCCTGAAGCAGAAGTTCAAACGAGAACTTTCCTTCCAGACAATGCAGGTTTCTCTGGAACAGAATTACCCATTCCAAACCTGGATGTGTAAACTGTACATGGGAAACATTAGATTTCTGCTGGATCACTGCCAGCAGTGACCTTTATAATTCCCAGTTCCCAAAACACAGAATCTCAAGTGGTAAATGCATTTCTCTCTCTGTTTCACCAGGCACAGATCTCCAACTATGGGGGTGTGAGGCACAGCAGCATGCGGTACTACAGAGCTGACAAAAGTGTAACGTGTAGGAACTGCCAGAGACCAGGACATTTGTCCAAGAACTGTCCCACTCCAAAGGTAAATGCAATACTTAACTCACTTGAACATTCAGCTGTTTTCCTGATATACCTTTGTGCTTGATGTTAGAAGCATTGTTTCAGTGGTTTGTCCTTTCTCTGAAGCAGTGCTCTGAGTTGCAGGATAGCTTGCACAAAGTCAGTGTGCTATGTGAAAGTATCCCTCTGTTTGGGGATGTCATTGCTTTTATTGTTTATATATAAAAAATATATGCAGAATTATATAATATGGAATCATATTGAATGGCTTGTGTTGGAAGGGACCTTAAAGATTAACTTGTTTCCCACCCTGTCACGGGCAGGAACAACTTCTACTAAACCATGTGGCTGTAAACTGAAAAAAAAATCAAGTGCCTTACAGAAACATCTGGTTTTTTCATATGGTAAAACAGTCAGCAAGAGTAACATATTTTTCAATTGTACTTTCAGCAAGGAGTATCTGTTGGATCAGAAATACAGCCTTAGTAAATAAGTGAAAGCAGAAAGTATAATAAGCCATGATATGAACAGTGTTAAAAACCGTGGACAAGACAAAACTGGAGCTAACTTTAAGAAGCTGAGATAGATGCCGCATATTCCAAGAGTTTGTGGTTAGGGGTTTAAAATTCAGTCAGTACACTGTCAAGAAGTGAGAGCCATTGTGTGACAGCCCAGATTTAGCAACCCCACAACAGAGTCCATAAAACCCTCTGTCCTTGGGGCTGTAACCCACGAGGACACTCAGAATGACCACATCTCATGCAACCCCCAGGGGGAAGTACACTCACTCACTGGGAAAGCTGGCTTACAGAGGTGCAGGTTTGGCCTCAGAGTAGCTGGCTGCATGTTGCATTTGTCACTCCATGTGCTGAATTGTGAGTCACGAGGCTGTGCCACTGAGTCCGGATGGCAACGAGTGCCCACCCCGCATGGGGGCTGCAGAGCCACAAGGGTCTATTGGAACTCTGTCACTTAACATGGTTCTATTTCTGTTTCCCCACAGAAAGCCCCCCCGTGCTGTCTGTGTGCAGGAAGAGACCATCTGCAGCACAGCTGCCCAGCACGTTTCTGCCTGAACTGCTGCTTGCCCGGGCACTATTTCAAGGAATGCCTGGAGAGAGCCTATTGGAACAAGCACTGCAACCGCTGTGACATGAAGGGCCACTATGCTGATGTGAGTACAGCCCTTGGCACAGAGATCGGGCATGGTCTGGTTTCTGTCTGCCAAAAACTGAATTTACAATGGCTACGATCTCTTCATGTCACGTTGATTTTATGTAGCGCCTATATGTATAAGCATATCAAAATGCTGTGTTTAGTCATTGCTTTACACTGTCAGAGTTTTCATCGAGAAAGAAAACAAACTAAAGCATTTTCAACACTTGGTCTTCAATTTGGTTCAGTTCAGCAGTGGTGGACACAGACGTCCTTTTTCCTGGGGAATGAAAGGTGTAGGGAGGTTGAAATCAGGAAACGCAGTGCTGTGAGTGTACCAGGAAGAAGAGTAACTCTGATGCATCAGGAGTGCCAGATCTATGCTTGTTTCACTATGATCAGATATTAATCACTGAAAATACTATTAGAGAGAAGCAGTTTGAAGGCTTTGGGTTTGACAAGATCTACTGAAGTAAAACGTGGAAGAAAATTAAAGGGAGAGCAGACATAGTTGTCTCTTTCTTTCATCTTATATTACATTATTATGGTTATATATGCCCCCCAAAATTCAATTCTATATGTAGCAGTCAAACTTTTATGATTTTTTTTCTCTTGAATTAAACACAAATAAGGATAAAAGGCAAAATGTGATAATTTTGGCATACATTCACACTTCAGTATCTAACTATAGATATGGCCTATATGTTTGGTTTTCAAATACACCTGTGGGATTCCATAAACACTGGATTGTTTTGAAACTCAGAAATATTTGATTCTTTTTCTAAATGTCTCCTTCCTGCCTTTATTTAATTCTGTTTGGTCAAAGAGCATGTCACAGTGGTATATGAGATGTGCAAAGGTCAGCCAATATATTTGGGAGTTGATATGTGAATATGATATGTGAATATGTTCCAGATGTACTTTTGCTTATAGCTAATGTGCCCACAATACCTTTAAAGAATGTGAAATGTACATTTCTGCACCCTCATGTGGTAGGCAGTGAGACAAAATTGCAAACTGTAATGAAGCATCTTTTCTTTGCCATCTTTTCTCTTTTACACATTTTATGACACCAGTTTCATAAACTGATGTTCTTTTCTTTAAAGAATCATGAGTGCTCTATCATACAAGCATTGAAATCCTACCTGAGCCATGCAGGGCATCAGGAACATCTCAGCATGTATTTTTTATGCTCATTTGGGTCCACCTTTAATCAGAAAGGTTTTTCTTTGAAACTTTTGGCAGGTTTTGTGTGCTTCTGCATGGGAGCTGTGAAGCTGCCTGTGTCATTCACCTGTACAAATACTGGTGCCTCAGAGCAGAAGCTCACCTGCCCAGTCCTCAGAGAGAGATGGCATGGCAGAGCAAGGGCAGAAGAATCAAAACCAGCAGTAAATCTTTCCTGAGATCTGAGCAGACAGGCTATGAAGCCAACAGGTGGTCAAGACATGAAAGGAACTCTTGGACACTACAAGGTTGCTGCTTGTGGTCTCAAGGTGTTTTTTGCAGCTGGGATGTTCATAGTGGAAGAAACCAGGGATGTTCCCATGCTGAAACCTTGTTTTGTGGTGGGGAGCAGCAGAGAAGTTGTCAAATGGAAGAGAATGAGAGGGTTCCTACGAATCTGTGAGCACTAGCCAGTTACCAAAACTGGGTAACAACTGCCCAAACACTGCAGAGGAGCATGAGGGTGAAGTAGCCCAGCCAGCCATGGCAGCAGACACCCTGTGCATGAGGAGCTGAGTTGCTAATGCAAGGACAGTGTGTAGGGGATGTCCCAGGGAGAGCAGGGGTCCCGGACTGCCAGCTGCACATGTGCACCAAGCCAGGGCCAGGAACCATGGTGGTGGCATGCTGGAATGGGTGTATAAACATAAAATACATGGAGTGATTCAAGACTGCTTTTGTAAAGGAAATCCCACTTCTCAGGGATCTCTGGAGTTCTTCAAAGGAGCAGGTTGACAAGCATGTGTGTAAACATGATCCAGTTGACATAGTCTACAAATTCCAAAAGGCGTTTTACAAAGTTCCTGACCAAAAGCTTTCAAGCAAACTAAACAGGCATGGAGTAAGAGGATAAAGGTGGGATATGCTAGTGTGACATGGAAATGGGTCAACAATGGGGCAACAAGACTGGCTGAGAAGACTGAATTACTTACACAGAGTCAGTGCTGTGAGCCAGCTGTGCAGAACTGCCCAAGAGCTGTAAGAATCAGAGGGAGAACACAAAATGGCAATTGACATTGAGTGGCAATAAATGAAAAGTAAAATAATCCGATCTTGGCATATGGAATTACAGGTTCTGCTTATTACTGTTCAGCACTCAGATACTAGTTATAAGATATGATTCTACAAAAAAATCAGTTTAATCTTCACAACCTGTAAAAAAAAAAAAAAAACTGGTGAAATGTTAGGAATCATCAAGAAAGCAGGAGCACCTGGGCAAAGCTTTGGTCCCTATTTTCTGTATCCCTCAGCATGGCCACAGCTCCTCAGCCTGCAATGGAGGTGAGAGGGAAGAGTCTGTAAAAGCTGCAGAATCATCTGTCATGGGAGACCGTGGTCAGGGATCATCATTTGTTCCGGTACACCTGACGAAGGCAGTACAAGCCAGGGTGGGAAGAGACAGTCCAAGGTGTCTCTGTGCGGTCAGCAGCAGACCTGGAGGCTCCTTTCTGAGGGATGCAGATCTGCCCTTCTTCCAGAGGAAATGGGAGCAGTTCATGGAAATCACAGAATCCTGTAACACCAGGTTGGACGGGACTTCATGGATCATCTGATCATCATCACCAATGTTTCTTGGCAAAAGCAAGGTCTACACCAGACAGCCCAGCCAAATCCTAAGAGTGTCCAATTCTGAGGAATCCACCACTTCCCTCAAGAGATGATTGATTGTTCTTATCATGAATAGTTTTCCCCTGTGTCCACCTGAGATCTCCCCAGGAGTAACTTGTAGCTATCATCCCTTGTCTTTCCCATGTGACTCCTTGTGAAATAGGGAAATCCCTCTCTTCTTGTTATCAAATGTATGTTATGAAATGCTTTGGATGCTCAAAGGAAGTTGTAATTTGTCCTCAGCAAGTTCACTCCCTTTTACTATGAATCAGAGGGTGCAGAACATGCTCTTGTGCACAGTTTGTCAGACTGACTTTCCACTTTGGTCCAGAAATTAATGTGAGGCAGTTCAAGGTGCTTCACCTAGTTTGTTTAAGGAAACATTCACAGTTACTTAAACCATTTTAAGGTCATACATTTATGATCTGCTAGATCAGTTTCTTCTCCTGAGACAACACTGAGAACATACAGAGTCCTCTTAGCTGGAGGTGTACTGGAGCAGCCTGGCGGCTGGTTTCCTTGGGAGGGTCATCAGAGGAGCAGCTTTTGACTGATTCAGTGGCAGTTTGGTGGATGCCATGAGCCTTGTGGTTGGTGTGCAGCCTTGCCTGCCAGCAGCAGGGTGGGAGAAGGGCTCCATGAATCTGCAGGGAGCAGGCAGAGGGGGCAATGTCTCCATGTATCCCTGGGGAAACCAGCATGCGGGTGCTCGGTGAGCTGGGTGGGCTCTCCAGGAGCTGGCAGACAGCACTGCCCAGTGCTTGGTGCCCTGTAGCCCTGGTGTGTCTGATGGCCCCATCCAAATGTCCAAATACTCTTGTCAGCACTCTACCTATGAACCAGCTGGGTGCTCCTACTGGCATCTTCTCTGCATATTCTGAAAACTTCCTGGCCTCTTCTCCTGGGAAGGTTCCTTCTGCCTTTGTTGTTTCTGGCATACTGCAGTGAGCTGGGATGGAGCTGGAGGTGCTGGGATCATTCCACGGGGGCAGCTGGTGTCCATGTGGCCCATTTTCCCTGGGCAGAGAGCACGACGTTTGCTCTGTCTGCTGCATCCCCCAGTGTCCTTGCCCACCCTTCACGCCTCTGGCTGTCCACGTGCACCCGCGGGTGAGCAAACGGCGGTGCCACAACGGCCAGGGTGACACCGGCGGTCACCCAGCTCTGCCCGCCCAGCGCCAGCGGCTGTCTGCACTGGCAGCGTGGGGAGAGGTCGCAACATCTGCTTGTGCAGGAGTGCTTTTGAAGGGAAGCATTGTGTGTTTTCCGCGGCAGTTCCCATGCGGAGGTGATGAAAATTGTATGTTTTGGCAAATCTTTTGTTTTATTGTGGTGGCTTGCAGCGGGGCAGCTCCAAGCAGCCGCTGCCTCTTTGACAAAGCACCAGAGGATTCTGTTAAAAAGTTGTGTTTAGTAATTGTAGTCGTCGTGTCAGACCATAACTGACTCGGAGCTGAAGGATTTTTGCGAGATGAGTAGCTATGCCAGCAGGGACCCAAGTCTCCTGGGCCAGCCACGCTCTCATTAAGATTTGCCGCTAGCCGTGGCGGTGTTCGGCAAGTATGTGACGTGCATGCTGTTATTGTATGCTTGGCTTGTCAGCCTGCAGCTTTCTGACACTCACTTATGTCACTCTTTATTCAGAGACGAAGAAGCTTTTGATAATTTGACAAGACAAGCTCTTAAACGATCTAGGTCATGGCCTTCACTGTCTGTGATTGTGAACATATTTCCTGAAAGCCCTGTCACTCATCACAGCTACATTTTCTCCCGGGGAGCCGCGGGCCCGTCCTGGTCTCCTGTCAGCGCGTGCATTTTGGTTATTCATACGCCAAATACAGTAGCGGGGTTTTTGCTCGCCTTTGGCCGGCACTCGCATGTTAGCGGGGCTAATCCGCGCCCCGCGCCCGCGCCCCGCAGCGCCGCCGTCGAGGGCCCTCTCGGCAGACGCCCGGCCGAGGGGAGCGGAAAGGAGGAAAGGCCGCTTAGTGCCGGTTTTGTGTTTGCTCATTGTTGTGGAAATATGAGAACTGGTGGCAAGGGCCTCGTCTATTGAGCTCTCGAGTCCCGGTCTGCTGTCAGGGGCTGTTTGAGATTGAGTGTTTTATTTTCTTTGATGTTCACATTGGAGAATAGGGAAGTGGGAATTAAACAACAGATGCATTAAGCCGTTGCTCTGGTAAAACAATAATTAGCACCTGATAAAATCCAATATGGGTCAAAACGCGCAGCACCCGGTGTCGATTCTCCCGTGATGGCGCCGTGCAGTGGGTCAGCCCGCGGCTCGAGTGGCCGGGCCATGGCAGCAGTGGCGCGGCTCGGGGACAGCAAGGTGGCCCAAGGTGTCGGCAGGTGTGGGCACGCTGCCCTGGCACTGGCACTGTCCTCTGGAATGGGTACCTGGTGTGCTGGTACATCCAAATGCGAGTAAGGTCAGACTGCTGGGGCAGGAATAAATGCAGTTTTGTTTTAATGGCGTTCATCATGCTGCCATAGTAGCTGGGTACCACGGGGGTTTTCTTTAGAGGAGGGCGGTTCGTGGTTAAGTTCTTTTAAATAAATAAGGAAAATCATGGGCTTGGCAGCGGTTGTGTCTGGCTATGCTGTCTTCCATAGCAAACCTCTGCCTCATTTGAAGAGCCAGTATTTGGTAGTAATTGGAAATCATACTATTTTTCATTCCATGATATAGATGCAGACAACAGCCCTGAGCTGATGCAAAGTAATGAGGTTCCTGGTTAAAAGCATCATCTCTAAGAGCTGTTGTTTAACAGGGCCCCTGCTCAGCTGTTGTACCCCACTTGATAATGGTGAGCAGTATTACCTCAGGTCACCACCTGAATGAAGGATATACTTAGCCCTCCCTCACCACCTTCATCCTTACCTTCTTCTGGTTTTTCCTCACCCTTAAAACATCCCTGAGGCTAAAACCCAGCTCTGGACAGCACCACAAAGGGGCTGGAGATGTGCCTCTCCCAGGGTTCTGACAAGACCTCTGCCAACTCTGGTTCTCACTCAGAGCTACAGATTTCTGCTCAAAGTGATGTCTTTGTGTCCAGAGCAGGAAAAATACCCAACCAAACAATTATTCAAAATTGAAGTAATTTTACTGATGATGATGATGATGATTTATTAAATAGCAGTCATGTGAGTAAAGGTCATAGCACAGAGTGGCATTTTGCCAGGATAGGACAACTCACTGATTGCAATTGTTCAACCATATTAGCCCGGGCACACTGTGGTAATCGAAAGGTATCCAGAACTAATGTACAAATAACTGCCTGCTACCCCTGAGCTGGACTAGCACAGCTGTCCTGCACAGCTGAAACCTCCCCAGGTCTGAGGGAGAGGCTCAGAGCTCTGGTACAATATTTTTACAGGTTGCAGAGTGTTTATATGTTGCTCTCTGAACCCTGGCTAAGTTAGGGAAGGAGGAAAATCCTTTTGTTTGTGCTCAAAGACAGCTTGAGTGTGTTCAAAGTGTCAGATCCTCGGTGAGGAATGTGATGTCCTTCACACATTTCCTTTATAAAAATATTAATATAAAACTCAAATATTTACACACAGCATTTGAGTAAGAGGAGAAATGTTGAACCATTACACAGAACAGATTGTAGATTTTTCTGCAGACAATTATGTTACTGGTGGAATGAATAATAAATAATAGCATTTCCATCACATCTGGGAAAAACACACTGTATGTGCCACAGGGTGACTGGCAAAAACTTGGATTTTATTTTGAGAGATACTGATTGTGATGTGTTTTTTAATTAACACGCTCCATCAAAATAAAAGAATTTTGATGGAGCAAGAATTTGGGCATGAGTGAAAAATTTATTTGAAATCTAAAGAAGTGTTAATAGTACTCATTTGCAAGTAGTCATGAGGCTTCAATGTTCAAAATTGCAGCTGCAGCATATTATGGAGAAGCCGTGGAATACTACATTTCTTTTTCTTTTCTTAAAATGAAGGTCGGCAAACCAAGTTGCTCATTGTTCAAATGAGTACAGTGCTGATCTTATACGAAGGTAAATGTTCTAAAGAGAAGTGAAAGCCCTCATCTGCAGTAGCTTTGTACCAAAATGCAAAAAGCGCCCCATTTCCGTATCTGACTGTGGCTCAGGGGCCGTCAGAAATATTGTACATTAAGAACCTGTGAGAGAGTGGTCTCAGCTTTAGTGACCACCAACATGTTCTGATTTTGTTTTAAAGATCCACATTTTCCTCTTTACCATCTCTCATATGTCTCTCAGGTCAATTCTATCACTGCTGTGACTTAAAAACCTGTTCTGATTTTTTTTTTTTTTTTTCCAAGAGCTGCACTTAGGACTTGGTGTGAAAGTCTGGCAATTAAAAAAAATTAAAAGGGAAGAAAAAAAAAAGGCAAGCAAGTCATTGTAAAAATAGCAACATTAAAACAATCTGTTATGGTTCTTGTTTACAACTCATCTGACATGAGGTTGCTGAGGATTATTACATGTAACAATTATATTTTGATTAGGAAAAAGATACATACAAAAAGATAAAATATTTCTGTTCATACATGAAAGGAAGGCACCTTGTGATTTAATTTCTAGAGCGTCATGTAAATTTAAAATGTCAGAAAATGTAGAATTTAAATCCGCCCCTGTTTGTTTTGCAGCATTAATGCTTCCTACAGTCACGAACACACTGCTCTCCCAAACTTCTGCCCCTCGGAGAAAAAGGGCAGAGAGAAAACTGTTACTGGCTTTCTGACAATGGCAGGGAGTGTGTTAAACCAGTGTAAAATTCAATTAAACTGTCTAGCCGGGTTTTTGAAGCTGAAATGCAGACCCTTTCAGTTAAGCTTCTTATTTTCCTGTGACCGACACCAGTGGATACTGTGTTATGCCAAAACCAACAGGCTGTAAAGCACCTTGTTTCATGCTCCTAGCTGATCAATATTTTTATTTTCCAGGCTTGCCCAGAAATATGGAGGCAGTATCACCTAACAGTAAGTAGAAACACCTTTTTTATTTTCTTCTACACCCAACCTATTTACTCCTCTGTGAACTGCTGACCATAAAATATAGATAAGCATCTTCTCTGAGAAGATAATAAACATCTCAAGAGTTTTTGAACTGAAGAAGGCAATGAAACACTGTCACTATTTTTAAAGCATCTTTAAAACTTCTGTTTTCATTTTAATACTGTAATAATTTAATTAGTGCTTTGCCTCTCTTCTCTCAGTGACCACATCTACACATAGAAGGTGCATTAAATTTTAAGTTAGCAGAAACAGTAATCCCATCTCAGATATCCTAGATGCTGGTAATTAGTCACTCTGTGTGACAAAGCTTTCTTCTTAGATGAGTAAAATAAATCTCAGTTAGACTGGAGACATGAATTTGAGGAAAAACTCCTTATAAACTTTTGAAGATAATTTATAGTTAGTCAAGATATCGCTGTGACTGCATGTTTGGCCTGCCTTAGCTGATTGTTAATCCCTAAAACAAGAAAATAAAACATCGTAAAACTGTGCCAGTTTCTTACTTAGGATTTTTCCTCATATGTAAAATAGATATAAAAATACAACAAAATGCATACAAATTTGGTTAATATTGAAAACTCAGACAGTATTTAACCAGTAAAAGCAAATTCTTCCATTGGTGTCACAGTTCTTAAATATATTAATTTCTAAAATTGTCTAACATAAAAACACCTTTAAAAAAGCAGGGCTTTGTTGTTCCTCTGAACTTTTCATTGCTCCCCTGATCGGCCTCACATGAATTTTGCTCTTACAGATAATTAACCCCTGTTCTCTGCTCTCAAAAAAGTAGAAAAGTTTCTCCACTACTTTTCTTTTTGGATCTTTGGGTTTTTTTCTCTGAAGCAGTAGATGGGATTTGCTTTATAATTTGTGCCTCCACCTCTTCATGGCAGTGGAATGCTCTTTTTTCTGCTTTTTTTCTTCAAAATTCAATGAATAGAAGAAATCTGCGCTTAAAACCTCTCATTTGTGTTTTGTGCATAATGATTCTAACACAAAGATCTGCCCTGGAAATCCTCCACCCTTCCTGAGAATTTACTTTTAAACAGATTTGGTAAAGATTTTTTGTTGATTTGGTTGGTTTGTTGTTTTTGGTTTTTTTTTAAGCCATTATGAGCAAAAAAAAAAGTTCATTCACTGAGTATTTTTGTTTGTTTAGTTTTAGTTTGGTTTTAAATTGGATGAAGGAAAAAGGTAAATGCTCTCTTTCATTACAATCCCTAAGGGTGCATGTAAAAACAATTTCTGAAATGTTCTCAACACTTGGAACTTACTAATCAGATAGAAATATATGGTATAGTAACATCCTGCGTTCTGTTTTTTTACTGAAGTAAAAGATGTAATTTAATTTTAGTCCTACCTGCCTGAGTTGGAAATTTCTCAAGAAGTGAGTTGCCAACAACACTTATAAAATATTTATCTGAAAAAAAAAAAAAAAAAAAAAAAGCATGGGGGTAGCTTAAGTACTTGACCAAGTGCCATACCGGGGCAAAATTTGAGGTATCTTGAGGTTAGAAATTATTTCTGTGGATTTTTTAGAAAGCATTCAGGGTTTACACTTAATGTAAAGTAAAGCTAAGAAAAAGTGTCAAACAAGTTCTTGTTAGAAAATGTAGTGGTTACAAATATGAGCATATTATTAAAAGTACCCCTTTGGAAATTTGTGGTGCATTTTAGGGACATTTTGAAATGTGGTCAAATAGGCACACTCACAGATTACTTGGTATTGCATCAGACCCTTCCTTCCAATAAATAGATTTCTACTTGGCAGTGAATTGCAGTTTATCTGCAAATAATACACATTTCTGGCATGTGGGAAATGTTTTACACGCCTTCATTTCTTGCATAGGAAGAGTGCCTTTGACTCAAAGTTACGTTAGCAGTTGTGTTAAGCCTGGAATTAAAAAATGATTATGGCAAAAGATATGGCTGATATTTGCAATAAGTAAAGTAAAAGAAACTGCATTATCTGAATTGTTTACAATTTATGTTTTATTATTCCCTTTAAATATTCTCTTTTGCACCCAAAGCAGAGCAGAAGTAAATAATGTTCTAGCAAGAAAAAAAACTTCTAAATCAGAATTATATATAATGTTTAAATGTATTTTATATATGTATCTGTAGGAGTGTAATAAAAAGCCAAGGTTTTTTATTCTCCTATCAGCACAGTAGTATTTCACCATAGAAATTATCGTACAATTTTCCTGTTGTAGAATAAATATTTCGGTACAAGCAGCGTTAAGAAAAATACCACATGTTTAAAACACAAGTGGTGTTGTGGCTGTCATGGCCTACAGAGGCTGCCCAGCTGTTGGGGGCCACAGAAAAGCTTTTCCTGCACTTCAGCCAGGGATGCAACCACTAGACTTAAATGGTTTTGGCAACTGGGTGGTGGGCATCGCACTCGCAGGTCCGTGTACATGCAGATGAGCTTGGGCATTCAGTTTTGTGATAATACACCGGATTTTGGCACCGTTTGCAGAGGGCTGCCACAGAGCTTGTCTGAATGTTTTGCGTTCTGTGAAGTATTCCTGGTTAATTTCTGTGAATGCTGGTGAAGAATCACGCAGCCTTCCTCCTCTCTCCCTCATGAAGATTTTGGTTATTTCATTCATTTTCCATCACTTTCCTAGGAGATGGACTGCCATCTATTGACTCCTCAGAGCCCCTGCACGGCGCGGGGCTGCTCGAACAATGACTCAATAACAAACCCATTCTGCTCTTGGGGATGGTGGTGGGGTTTGTTGACGTTGGCCACGGTGACAAATTTGAGCACATTGCAAATAATTTGTTGTATGGGCAGAAACATCTTATTCCAGCCAAAACAGACTGCCACGCACAAGGCATCTTATGAAGGAATGGCAAAAAGGATTTTAAGTGGAATATTTTAATTTGCCTTTTGATGAAAAAACAGATTATCATAAGGCATGCAATGAAGCTTAAATCTAAGGGCTGTGTGCTAATCAAAGCTTTAGAAATGGCTGAAAGTACTTTCTTTGAACTTATTCTTTCAACTCTTTTAACTGAAATTATTCAGGGAAAAAAAGCCAATCAAAGTCAGCAGAAAAATCCAACTCCCACTGTGGTTTAAAATACTATTTAATAATCTCTTTAAGACAGTGATTTAAAACTTTTACAGATCATTTTCATTACAGCTACACTCCATATTTCTTCTGTATCAGAGAAGGGCAATTATATTTGTCAAAATATATTTCAAGTTCTATTCATGTATATTGTGAAGATTTATCAAAGGGGTTATTGTCAATCAAATAACAGGACAAAGGCTTCTTTGGCAGAGTCAGGATAAACACTTTTGGTCATAGCTTGTTGGAGTGTCAGTGATGATACGTGTGATTTTTTTGGGCACAAGGCATTTGGAGGCCTTGTTGAGCTCTTTGTTCTGGGTTATGAGGAAGCTTTGCTTACAGCTGTGACTTCCTAAATGCCAGGTGCTCCACAAACCCAGAGAAACACAGCCCATGTTCCACAAGACATGCTGTCACATCCCCTCTGCACCCTAAGGATGCAGGGGTGCACACAGCAGTGGTTTTTCACCCTCAGAGCACTTGGCTCTGTCTCATTCCCTTTCTCCTGTCACTTCAGATTTGAGCTGTAAGTCTAGTGATATTTATTATGCACATTAAGTGGAGGCCAGGTTGTAACTCTCTTACAAACAAAAAAGATAAACCCTAAATAACGCTAAAAAAATTGGTGGAAAAACTTATGAGAGGGCACCCAAAGGTTTTCTTTAGTTTGCTTCAGTTTCACAGTTTATTATTTAAGAAAGACAATATTTCCCTTCAAGTCTGACCTGCTGCCCGTGCACCTCGCCGTGTGGCCCGCGGCAGCTGCTGTCCTCAGCGGGCCCAGGCTGCGGAGGGGCAGCGCTGGGGCCACATCCCACAGTGGACAGCCCTTGTCCCTCTGCTGCTGCTCTGGGCAGCCCAGGGCTCGGTGTGGCCGTCCAGGGAGTGCCGTGGGCCAGGCTGCCTGTGCTGACCAGCGGCTCTGCCTGGGCTGCCCGCACTGACCAGCGGCTCTGCCCGCGCTGCCCGCACTGACCACTGGCTGCAGCCTGGGCTGCCCGCACTGACCAGCGGCTCTGCCCGCGCTGCCCGCACTGACCAGCGGCTGTGCCCGCGCTGACCGCTGGCTGCAGGACCGCAGGGCCTCTGTGGCCAGAGCGGCCTACTGGAGCTGCTGCTGGGGGTAGCATCCACCAGCAGCTGACATCACTGGAGAAAAAAGAAGAAATTATCTCCATGCCCAGACACCGTGTCTCGCGCTGGGCGCCAGGTCGTACCGTGAGGCCCCAAGCGTGCCCCGGTGCATGGCAGCGCCAGCGGGGCAGCGGCCGAGGGCGCGGCGCTCGGCGTGTTTGGTGTCAGCTGAAACGGGCTGGCTGCACATCTCACCAACCTGCATTGTCAGAGTGGTTTGTGCCGTGCAGGAAGAGATGCGGCCCAGCACCAGGATGAGGACGCCACAGTCAAACGGGAATGAACTGTGCAAGTGCTAGAATCTTCAGTAAATATCAACTGAGTAAAGAAATTCTGTCCCTAAAATGGACAGAGCAAGTTTCTTATTTTCCTGAGGTGTTTCTTGCGGTTGATGTGTGTGTTAAAACATAAACCTCACTGGACAGTGTTTTCCTTCTGTGGGGATGTCTCATTTTTGATAACCCCGTCATGCCCTGGTGCCGCTCCAGCCAGCCACGCTGGCTCCATCCCTGTGCCCTGCCTTCACCAGCCACGTCTGCCTGAAATCTCCCACAGCAAGATGGCCACCAACAGAGCTTTAGAACAATCCGAATTTTTAATTAGCAGAAGCTATCATTTAACACACTTTTTAACAGTTTGTTAATCTTACTTTTAATCCACTTACATAAAGGAAGGTGAACCAGGAGCTGGCTGATTTGGCCCTGTGTATGAAGGACACAAAGAGACATGCATCTTTGTGTTTAA